GTGCCTCGTGCTCCTGCAGGTGGCCCTGCTTCGGGCAGGCAGCATCCGGGCAGCTAATGGCAGTTTCCAATCCTTCCTTGATCAAGAGCTCCACGTATTGCTTCAGGCACTGAAACGAAAACAGAGAAGCACCTGTCAACAGCGGCACTGCCTCGAGGTTAAAGGAACAGTGATGCATAGAAAAGAGTGTTTGCGTGTTCACCACGGAGCCCACAGCTACCACCAAATAAGAGGCTTCAGTCGCTCACTGAATATGAACGGGGCCCCCGGGAGCCAGGGGCTGCAGGCCGGTGCACAGGCCTCGGGCCGCGGGCAGATGCCTGCTTCAGCCCCAGCAGACACAGGGCCAGCAAGCCTCCAGCAAGGGGGCAGGTGGGGAGGGAGGGCCGGGGTCACCCTCCTCAACCGCACGTTGGTGCCCATTGTTTCATGATGGCCTCACAACGTTACTAAGCCTCTACCTCCAAAAACGTCTCATCCGTTTCAATACGAGGGCCTGGTGACTGTCACTGGCCGGGCCTCCCCTGATGTCAGCTGCAGCTCCGAGCAGCTCCATGCTCAGAACAAGCCCGTTGCTCTCCCTCAGCCTCACTGGCCCCCTCTGCGGTGTGGGGCGGCTGAACCGACTCACAGAGCAGTTGTTAAGAATTTTATGCAAGAGAAAGAGTCTGGAAGACCCCATGAAAAGTGGCACATGAGCAACACGGGGGAAGAAAGAGACCACAGTCTTTGGAGCTGGACAGACTCATGGAATCCCCGTCTTTCTAGGCAGAAACTACAGGCGATGGGTCCTTGACGAGTTTGGCCACAGCTTCCTCGACGACAAAACGGGGACATCTGTCTTGGTGGATTTTTGGGACAGAAAGAAAGACTGTAAAAGCAGCTGGGGCATGCCCAGCACACAGCACCTGCAGAGTAAACAGTGGCTGATGCCATCTGCTGCCTATCTGTGTGATCTGTTTCTTACATCATATGCCAAAAAAATTAGACCTTAGCCACAAGCAGATTATTTTACTCTCTATAACTGTCTACATCAGGTTTCAGGGGGACACTGGAATGCCGTGAACCCGTAAAATGCTGGGAACACTCAGAACACCGTGCAGAACGGTACATAGTGTCAGAGGGTTTATATGCCCCGAGAAGCAGAACACAGCAGTTAAAGCTGGTGGGACATATACACCCAGGGGACACCGAGGACTCTGAACATCATTGTCCAAGAACCTGCACGTGACAAGCAGGGCGTCTGGCGACCCAGGAGCGACACTCCACCATCCCAGGCAGCGCACAGCTTACAAAGTGACTGTTCTGGGACGTCGATCTGTTTACAACACAGAGAGAGACGCAGGTCCGTGTCTGACCGTGCAGCTTGGAAAACAAGCCCATCTTTGTCCCGATATAAAGTGGACCTGGCTCACAGCTGTGTTTTCTGGTCTAATGGCAAAAAGCTAAGAAATGGGCGAACGGAGAAGCTCGTGTAAGAATGAAGACGTGGCACAGAGCAGGTGCGAGTGTTTCCCTGCCGTCTGATCAATCACAGCGATCGGTGATCAAAGGCTGTCAAGGCACCGGGCTCTGTGGTGACCACTGTACCTGTCAGCCACCAACCAAACCAGGAGAATCTTGTGAGGTGTCATCACTCCACCGAATGGAGACACCGAGAGGTCTGCTTGTTTGTTTGATATCTGAAGAATCAGAGGGGTGAGGGAGACGGATTCCTGCACCCATTTGGGTACCTTTCCGATACTGGAGCAGGTTCTGGGACCCTCACTGTGACAGGACCGACTCAAGCCTCGGGAAGACAACAGGGGGTCAGCTTTGGGCTGGAGAGTCAAATGCACAAACCAGGGAGAGAGACTATGGGTTCCCGGTCTCTTTCTGGGGGAGGAAGGCGCTGGATCGGGGTGCTTGAGGGAAGCCCTCTGCCCCTGACCTAGGGCGTGGCATGGAGGTGCCTCCTGAGCAGCCCTCGGCCCTTTGCTAAGTCTTTGCTAAGCGCTTTCTGAAGGGCCTTTAATAGATAATTATCCCATTTCAATGCAAGGAGCAAGAGAACTGGAGGCGACACCCCCCACCCCCACCCCCGCCCA